GAAACGTTTCATTAGAGAAGAACCCGTCCAGAAGACCTATACAATTTTTTTCTTTTTGAGATTTAGTTTTGTTTTCATGAACAGCTAAGTGATTATTATTGATTAGAAGATCCATTTGCTTGCATGTGGTTTTTATTTATTAGGGTGATTTAAACATTGTGTATGTTGTTTTCTCTTTTGTTTTTCTTGTTTGTTTTTGTATTTGTGCATTTTATGCAGTCTACATCTGCATACTTTGTGGTATTTCACCCTCTGATTTATTAAAGTCTTCTGCTTATTCAGAAGATGGTTGCTATTTTTGTAATTATGTTCAGGGTTCATGCCGGGTCTTAAAAAGTCTAAAATTTTYAAATCAAAATTTTAGGCCTAAAAAAGTCTTTAAAATGCCCAGATTTTCATCCAAGGTCTTACATTTAATTTTGTCAAGTTTATTTTTTTCTACTTTTGATCATTCCTGAGAACCATTGGCTGCATAAATAAAGAAAGTTAAGAGATGTAATCAGAGGATGACATGATCTGTCTTCATGAAGTGCTAAGTTTGCTACTGGTCATGATTAAACTAGAAATCCCATGATAACTGCAGGCAAAAATGGCACAGTTTACATCCATGTTTTTGACCTCTTTGCCGCTACAACCCCCCACATACAGTGGCTTATTTACCTGCTCAAAAAACAGAAAGAAGTTCAGTCATGTCCACTGCTTGTTTAAACATGGGAAAGTGTATTTTCAATGAGACTTGACTTGATATCAGTGATTTTTTTCACTCGGTTGAAAGCAGTTCACAGCAGTCAGATATGACCATTTCATTCAAATAATTTAGTGTTCTTGTATTAAAATTAAATATTCTTCAATAACTAACCTGATAGCAATAGAAGGTTTCTATTATAAAATTTCTGGGACCATTTGAATGTTTCTGTTTATGCGTCGATTTGGTCTTAAATGTCATTACTAATGGTCTTAAAAGGTCTTAAATTTAACTTACTGGAACCTGCATGAACCCTGTATGTTTCAACAGAAACTTTTCCAAATACYTGGAGATTGCTCCTAGAAATATGATTCAATGTACTTGCTCTGAATTTCTGCTTTTAGCAAGTGTTGTGTTATGTTTATCTCATTGAATGCTAGTTTTTCCAACTTTCCTTCTTCGGTTAATCATCTAATTATAGATTAAATTTCATCTATAAAGATGAAATTTAATTTCATCTATATTAAATTTTCAGTTAAAATGTAGTTAATCTGGTTTTTCTTGGTTCTAAAGTGTGAACAATAATGTTTTAATAATTTTTTCTTTTCATCTCTCCCTTCCCAGCTCCATGGGAACTCAGCAACACTGTATGTGAGTCAGACAGCCTGTGTGATCAACCAGTCCTCGTGTCAGCACCCAACTCCGAGCCCCACATCCGTAACCGCCGCTTGTCTCCTGGTTCTGGCAGCAGCGGAGGTGGTGGAGGCGGAGGCTGCATCTCTAAAAGCTCCCAGTCGCCCAAACAGCCCTCACCTCAGGGCGATCCCACCCACCCAGGCCACGCGCACGCCCTCAGCTTCCGCAAGGAAAAGGAGCGCCGAGGCCACCAGCACAAAGGCCGCGGCGTCCGCAGGGAGAGCCCGAAGGGGGTCGCCCGAGCCGACGAGCGCCCGTGGGCGGAGCACGACCTGTCGCTGCTCAAGCCCCCGCCTGCCTTCCCGGTGCAGGACAGCCCTGCCAAGCTGCAGCCAGCTGTGAGCTACGCTTCCAAGGTGAAGGCAGGAGCTGCAGGTGGCGCTCTGGAGGAGGACCGGCCCGCCATCAACGTGCTGCTACAGAACCAGTGGGGTCTAAGTTTTATCAGCGAGGGGGGCGGCCCTCACCCCGCTGCTGATGGCCCCCCGCCAACAGACGCTACACACACAGCAGACCCTCACAGCACAGCTCTCACAGAAGAAGGTCCCCTTCCCGTCACTACCTCCTGCCTGCTCACAGAGATGGCTGAGGGCAATGGAGACCTGCTGCTAAGCTGTCGCCACCTAGTGGAGGCTTTGAACTATCACAACAGAGGTGAGTAAAACGAGCAGGAACACCTGGCTGTGAGGTTGATTTACCAGTGTTTAACAGTTTTCTTTTTTTTATTCTAGAATGGAATATTGCCTGTAGCAGACACAAGAAAGGTGAGTTTATTCAAATAAGAGCTGCGTCTGATGCTGTATCTTTATCAGAAGACATTTTAATCAATTTAGTTTTGATTCTGCAGATCCAAAAAGAGTCGTCTGGTACAAGGACACCCAGGAGCACCCAGCCTAGCAGTGCGGCTACAGCAGCATATCAACACACCTTCATGCACATAAAAACACATTAAAGACGGACAACGATGAGTCCCCTTCACACACTGCACTCAGGATGATGTCTTCATATTAAGCCACACTGAGACACTTTGGAATAACTCTGACAACAGTGGACTTTTTTAATGCCTTACAGAAAGCCTGCCTTAATAATCGCCTCGTTTCTGTTTTAGCTTATTTGTGTCCAACCGTTCCTTTTATTTTGAAACCATCTCCAAGGAGTCTAAGTTTTTTGAAAGCTGCGGTTTTATCAGACTTTCTGTTCTGTCAGTTGAGCACTTTGTTTCAAACTCTGACCAATCCCCTGTGCGAGACGTCCTCAGCGGAGCAGTTTTTATTTCTCCTCGTCGACTCTTAACCAGAAAAATGTCTTTTATTATTGATTAAAGCGGGGGTCTTCAGTTTACAGAAGAGAGTAGTGAAAAGACCCTGCAGAGTTTATCACAACAAATCTTAATGCTGTTTGTTTTTATTGGGTCTCAGGTGAATGTTGTTCATCAGTCCATAAGGGACGTCACCGTGTTCCGTTTGTAGAAATTTGAATTTAAAATACACTGGAGGAATAAAAAAACAGTATTACCTAATAAAATTGAATATACTTGAGAAGGTTTGTCTTCTTTAATATAAACAGTGTCCAACAATACAATCAAATCTGAAACATTTTTACAGAGATCTTTTAATAAAGCTGCTGCCGTCAGTCTCTCCACYTCACCTCCACTTCATCTGTTCTGTACCTGAAACCAGATGGAACAACATGGTCAAATCTGAGCAGTAAAACAAGCAAAAACATGTTTCCTTCCATATAAACTGGACCATGCAGAGATGGTACATTTTTTGACATACAGCTCTTTCTACAAGTATTGTGCTATTTCAACAATTCATATTTCAAAATGTTCAATTCCTTCCAGACATTTTAGCTATGAATTTAGTATTTTAGCTTTTGGCCAGTCTTTCCTGCATTTCATACCTTTTATATTCTGGTTCTGCTCTTAGGTTTTTAAATTTTTTTCTGTTATTTTGCTAATTTAGGCTTATAGGCTTTCAGCTGTTTTTGCAAATTAAGCTTATTTTTGCTAAATGTTATCTACTTATTTCAGCTTTTTCATTTAGCAAATATGTGCTCTTTGTGCTAGATTCAGCTTTAGTTTTTTTTTTTTTTTGCAACAACTTTCAGCATTTAACATTCACACCGCATTTTCCTTTAGTTAAGGTGTTTGAAGGAGAAACTAAAAGTTTAGATAATCACAGAAATATGGTTTTGGAACAGCTGAGGAATTAAATGTTTTGAAACCTTTCCTCATTTGGAAAGTGTCAAATTTACATCAGCAGGAGCAAAACGAAAAATTACACTAACGAGTCAGAATCCCATTTTACTGTGGAAGGAAAATACATATGCAGATAAAGTTGTTGAGACCAATCAACTTGTTTAAAAGGGTAAAAAAAAAAACAGAACTGTAATGCCTACCTTTGTGTGATCCACGAGTCCTCCAGCTCTGTCATCTGACCGAACCGGAACATCTCCCAGCCGGCCTGAGCGATCATCGCGCCYTTGTCTATGCAGAACCTGCAGGACGGAGAGGTCAGGTTGGAGTCTCAGGAAACAAATCTGAACCTATTTGATCACATGGTGACTGTGATATTCCAATAAAAGTAGTTTATTTACAGATAAATACAAAACCAGCTGTTATTATTTGAAGCTACTCATGTTGAAGCTACCGTTCATCTGTGGCGAACAGTTTGGCTCCTCTCTCCTCACACATAAGCCCCATCATCTCCTGCAGACGCAGGTTACCTGAGGAGCAAACAATAATTGTTGATGTTAAAATACATATTTTCTCATTGATTTATTCACTTCCAGGTGTGAAGCCTAAACGTGTCGCAGCTGCTAGTTTCAGGTACTTACAGCCGACACCTCCAACAATCAGGACCTCCTGGGAGCCACAGTGAGCCATGGCCCGCTCTGTGATCTCCACCAGCATGGAGAACAGCGTCTCCTGCAGAGTTTCACAAGAAATATGTTGCATAATCTCGTTTTTAAAAACAAAAAAATGACATTTCTTACAATTTCCATGATTGCCAGGAGGCAGTCCTGTAATTTCAGTTTGTACCTGAAGAGAGAAACACAGATCCTCTGCTGTACACTGACCACAGCTCAGCATTTTATTAGCTGCTTCCTGCCAAAAGAAAACAGTTCTTAGGATGACCAAAGAGATTATAAAGTGGTGTACTACATTATCAGATGATCCCTTCTCACTAAAAATAAACATATTTTACACTTCAGTATTTTTAAGCTTACCTCAATATAGGACAAAATTCCAGAAAACGACACGTCCATTCCTTTTACTGTATATGGCAGCTCCACATACTGAGTCCCTCTGATGGAACACAAAGTGTGTAAAACAAAAACATCATGACACCTAAATAAATACCTGATGGCACTCACTTTTTGGCCATCTGCTCGATGTTATAACCTGGACTTGGATCATTAGAAATCTATGTGGAGAGACAGTTCCGCATGAAAATATGACCAGACAATGAAACAATGAAGCTATGAAGAGAAAAACATACCTTAATAACTCGAGCAAACCTGTCTAAACAGTTGCCAACTGCAATGTCAATGGTCTCCCCGAATATCCGGTACCGCCGCTCTGAGTAGGCTATAACCTGCAGTAACCGATTTTACGGATTAATACCGTGCCGGAAAAAAAAAAAAAAGACAACTGAAGCTCGACGCACCCACCTGTGTGTTGCCCCCGCTAACGTACAGCACGGTGGGGTTGTTGGCCTTAGTGATGAGTCGGCCCATCTCGATGTGTCCGATGCAGTGGTTGACTCCGAGGAGTGGCTTCCCCCAGAGCTGCGCAACGGTGCGAGCCACTATCGCTACCGTTACCAASGGAGCACCCATACCAGGACCTGAGACAGGACGAGAACGACAAAAAAGAKAAGGGGTTGTATTGTAATGATTAAAAAAAAGATTTCCAAAGATTTGTACATCGTTTTTATGTCAACACCTTTCGGGGGAAAAAAACGTTTAAACTAAAAGTTATGGGCACTGTTCTGCTAGTCCACTAATAGCACAACTAACTTCTCATTTAGCGAATTAGTTAGATAAGATAACTGTTAGTGGATCGATTAGCTTCTGCTAATTTTAAGTCCACCYAAAAAAGTTGTAAAACTTCTGTTTTCATGCCATTTATCCCAAATTAAATAAAAATGATCCCCTCCCCCACAAGTGTGTGTAGGATATAGCATCTTTAGCAGCTAAACTTCAAACACAAACACTATAACACTGAACACTATTTAAACAACAAATATAAAAACTAACTACATATAAAATATGGTAGAGAAAGTATTTGGTATTTATTAAAATACAAACTCAATAAAATGCTTTTATTCTGAAAGGGTTAACTTGGAAATATAACAAGTTAGACAGAGCTATAGCTCTTGTTTTAATTGGCTGATTTGCCACAAATGATCCCACCCAACTTCAAATTAAACCAATAGAATTGAACTAGGTTTTAGTTAGACTCACATCTTCAACTGGATGACTGAGTTGTCTTAGTGGTTAGCATTAGCTTCCACTAATTTGTAATCTGTTTAGCGGTTAGTGAAGCTAACTGTTTGGTTGGCTGTGCCCACCATGGGAGTAAATAATATGTTTACACACCCTCACAAATTCAAACCTGTGGGGTCTCTGATACCTTTTGTGTACGCCACACAGTCGATGTCTGCAGGCTTCAGTCCTGCCTGCTCCAGCGCCTCCTTCAGGACAGTCAGTACAACTGCACGATGGTGCCTGGCTGTGTTACTTGGCATGAACCCTGATGTGGAAAAAGATCTTGTCAGATTTTCACAAGGATGAGTGCACTGAGGGGATTTGAACAGAACCCACCTTGACCGGGAGGCGTAATGTAGGTTTGTCTTGGGTTGGAGAGCACCTCGCCGTCCCTTATGATGCCAACGCCGATCTTGTTGGCACTTCCTTCAAAGCCAATCACTACCGTCATGGCAGCTGAAAGAGAAAGATACCAACAATTTACCTGTGAGACTTGGGGATTTTCATTAAGTATAAAAGCCAAGTACAGAATCATAACTTTTGTTCTTAAGTTTCAATAACTTTACTCATTATTGTCATATTTTTACTTTAAATTAACAAATTGTGATCACTTTTAAAAATGCAAAAATAATGCCCTTTTTGTTTATATAAACTATGCTGTTCAATACTTTCAATCACAAGAAAAGAAATAACTGTTAAACTATATATATATTCTGCTGCTTACTCTACTACTTAAATTTAACCATTAGCTTCCAGGTTTTGCCACTGTTGCAGCATGACAATGCTGTTGTGGGAAAACTAGGAGATAAAGTGCCAAAGATGAGTTGCTTTAAACATTTTTCTATCAGTTAGCCAGAATGGCAACAGTATGAGCTACTGCAGACAAACCATGTTTATTAACTTAACATAGTTTATTTTATATACTTATATTTTATATTTACTTATAACTAAATATAAGAATAATTTATCTTTCGGTTCAGTTTTCTTTTTGACTTTTTATACGGGAAAGATTACAGCCAACAAAAGGTCAACAAATTCATTGATCATTTTCAACGTAAAAACAAATATTAGCATACTCGGCTATGTACATAATCAAGTTAGCTGTCACACAAGCCTTGTGGTTTCCAGAAAAGTCATTACATTATTTAGCGTTTAAAAAAACAAAAACAAATGGAGTTTACCAAGTTCTTCTTTTCCTGTAGGTGCCTGTGTCGGTTTATTTTTATTTTATTTATTTTTTCTTTCTTTTTATATTAGGAACCTGTTAGCGTCTGCCGCTAATATGACCCAAACCTCGAGAGTTGTAAAATTATGCCTTACAATAAAGTTTAAAAAAATTCTCATTGACTAGATATAATTAGGGTTAATAGGTCATATCAGCATGCATCGCGTATTCACTTTCTTTCCCTACACCTAAGAGTATTTTTGTCTTTTTATGTTTTTTTTTTGTTTTGTTTTGTTTTTGTTTTTTTTAGGCATATCTGAGGACAGCTATTCAGCCTGAACCAGTCCAAGTGGGGTCTCTGCGGAAGAGTACGGACTAGTGGGCGTGTCAGAAGGAAAGGCGATTCTAAAGCGACACACCTGATTTGACGGACTTTGTTAAGGAGACACACCTGACTGGACAAGCAAAAAGGGGCGATACCGTACGACACCACCTTATTGGACAAGAACAAAAGGGGCGTTACTGTACGGCATCCACTTTTGCTGGAGAACCCTACTTGGGCCACATTTCTCCTGGTTAACCTTAGTGTAGGGTACAGGGTCAGGCTGTAAAGACATCAAGCAGAATCTAAGGATACCGACATGTAGGCATCTTAGCCCACAGTGTTTATGCTTTTGACACGCCCACTCTTGCGACACGCCCACTTTGATTCCGCAGCACAAACCAGCACGTGGAAGTGAGGTCTTTTTTTTTTTTGTAAGAGTGAAGTCTGGGGGGAGTGACTGGTGGAGACGACGCTTGGCTGGATTTTGCATCCTGTTGTGTGCAAGTAAGGTTATTTGCATCTTGTTTTCCTGAAAGCGCGTTAATGAAACGTTGTTTACGCACATTTTCATTTGTTTACTAACCGAACAAGTTAATTGTTAMCTTGTTATGCTAATTAACCAACCTTAATTCTTCTGTCATTCATTCCTGAACAGGCCGCCTGCTGGCTCTATGCTCTTTGTTAAAGAGCCAAGCTAGCTTTAGCACGGCGTGTTAATACAATAGCTAACACGAACACATTTCCTAATAATACTTAAAAACTTTGTTTTCTGCAGCCACACTTATTACTTTAAATAAAATCTATGTATAAGATCATCATCAAAAACATGCATGTTAATTAATACCTAAGCTTGCATTTTTAGGAAAATGTGTTCAAATTAGCTTTAGATAATCATTAAATTTTTGTCGACCTAAATGCGTGACCTTAAGGCACGTGCAAAAGTATTTAAAGGACATGGGATGGAAAATATGTGCTTGTTAATATGTATTGATTACTCTTAACAGCACAGACACTTGTTTGTTTAAATAAAGTTTTGTTTTTTATTAAACGCGCACGGCATAARGGGTCAGGGTTTATGTGGAATAAACAAACCAACAGATTTGATGAAGGTCGCTATTATTAGACTCCGCAGTTTGTTGGGATTTGTGCCCATGTAGAAACTAGGCATATCATTATATAACTGTGTGTGTGTGTGTGTGCGTGCGTGCATGTACGGGTTTTTCCTACAACATGGGGTATTTTTTACAAAACTGTGTGTGTGCGTGCGTGTACGGGTTTTTCCTACAACATGGGGTATTTTTTTTTTTACAAAAAAAGCAGCCAGGTGGGGACCGAAGTGAATCGTGGGGACCAATGTCAGGTCCCCACGATGCATGTTACAGGTGTGGGGTTAGGTTTAGGACCAAGGTTTAGGTTAGTTTTAGGGTCGGGTAAGTTTCTGTGAGGTTAGAGTATATGGTCAGGGTTAGGATATAAAGTCTAAAAAACATGAAT